GCTGGCATATGATGCAGCAGATGCAGAATGAAGAGAAAGCTTACAAGTTGCTTGATTTTGATTTTCTTGGTGGTTCTGTGCTTGCTGATATTGTTGCCCCTTATGTGTATGCTTGCTGGCAGATCCGTTGGAAGGTTCGGAATGAGGAGGTCCGCTCTGATGAGCGCGAGGCCGATGGCAGTGATGCTATGGCATGAGTAATTTATCTATCTATCACCAGCCCGAATGCAACCGCAAGCATACAGGCATCTTTTTTGCTGCCAAGCAGCAGTTGCGAGCCAAGAGCAAGGGGAGAAAAAGGCTCCGATTCCTGTAGCGTTTCCGTGGCAAGCATCGCGCCCTGCCAGAAAACTCTGAAAAATGGCCCCTGATTTGCCTTCTCCTTTGCTCCATGGCAAGGGCAAGCGCTGCCGCTGCCTTGGCTGAATTCATTGGCTGCCATGGCTGCAAAGAACAGATGCACCGCAGGTGTTTAGTGACACCGTTGCATGTTTAATGTGAGTTGGTCCCTTTGTATGTGTGCCAAATGGGGGGGTGGCGGGAAGCGAGGGAGGGAGGGGGCATATGCCCTTTGCTGTTGTGCCGGCGTGCGACAGCAACATATGAACGAATCATGGCATATGTTATTTGATTGAGCCAGAGCCGACCTATCACTTGTATCTAATGTGTAAACAGCAGTCATATTGACAGTGCCACCCAGGGTAGTGATGGGCCGCCTTGCGGCTCTGCTGCATGTACCGCATGGCGCCGCGTGGTCAGCTTGTTTGATTGGGCATGCGGTTGCTAGTAAGTGCGCAAACTTTTGTGCAAGCTCCGCTGTCATATACAGGGTAGCCCAGTGTACCATTTGGCCAGCGTAGAGCCCCAAGCAGGCACGTGAGGACGAACGAGATCAGCTGGCGCCGCATTGAATTCAGCTGCCTTTGCCAGGGTCCATTTTATACACATCGGCAGCCTCAATTGGCTACTGACAAGCCCCAGATCGATCCTGCAGGCACCTAGCTGCAATGTCGAGCGGGGACTTTGCATCGGGCGCTTATCAGCGCCTGCAGGATGTAGACGATCTAGAATATGGTCCAGGCGCCACAGCCAGCGAGCGGCAGGCGGGCGTTGCGTCGACGAGCGCTCCAGCACCGCCCGGCAGCGACGGGAGCGGGCCAGCCGGCGGGTTCCACCTCCACGCGAGCTCCAGGGCCGGTACCTCTGCAGCGGGAAAGGGCAAGGACCGCAAGAAAAAGATCAGCAGGTGAGCGGCAGGCGGCGGCATGGGTGCTGACGCACGCTGCGATGCGTCGCAGGCAACAGGAAACAGCGAACCGATGGTGACATCCAACCCACCGGCTCAGGGGCATCCAGCCTGGCTCATAGAAGGGTCGTGCACGTTTAAAAAATGTGCCGCAGCGAAGCGCCCCAACCGCGCCTTACATACGGCGTCATTACGCCTGGAACGGCGCTGCGCCTCGCAGCTGCTAGCTGCTGACCCTATGGGCATGCCGTCATCAACTGTCAAATCGCACACCCTTGTGCACGCACACCATTGACTCGCCCGCACACGTGCGCGCGCGCACACACACACATACATACACACACAATTGAGCCAGCCCTATTCCCGTGCCTTACGCCACGGCGATGCGGCGCAGCAGTGTATACTCTCACCCGCCAACGCCCACACTCAACCTTGAAGCATGTTCCTGCGACTTGACGGCTTCGCAAAACCCCACTGTCTTCACAGGCGGATGAGCTGGCTCATAATGCACCAGGACGGCTCGACTCAGACCGTGCTGATGGACAAGCGGCAGCTGACCCAGGCGCGCTGCAGCGCCGCCGACCCGCGCCGCTGGGCTGCGCAGCGCTGCTGAGTCAACCGCTGAGCAGTGCTGCGCCGCTGGGGCGCGCCTCGCCTCAACCATCAACGCGGCGTCCCCGCGGCCCTCACAAGCACAAGCGCTGGGGCCACCCTTGGCCACAGCGCGGGGCAGGGGCGAACACGGCCGACGAGCGCTCGGGCCCGCACATCGCTGCAGCCGGCGCCCCGCGCCCGGGCGTCTCTCTCGCGTGGCGGCTGCGAAGGCTGATGCGCGGCATGCCCCGCCCCTCCCAATGCCCTCGCCGCGGCGGCATTAGGTCATGGGGCTGGAGATCCCGATGCGTGATCTGAGGCTGATGGACCCGGCGCTGCAGACGTGAGCGCGTCGCCTCATCTGGCCCGCAGCCCATCCATTTGGCGCCACCCATCCGTCACTCCTCGGGCCAGGGTTGCAGGTTGGGGCGTTATCACAAAGTTTGACCTTGAGGCTGGAACTGTCCAGCGCTCAGCACGTCTGGGCGCCCTCGGAAGCGCCTCCGCGGCCCATTGGCCCCCTCGCGTCGCGCCCACACGCGCCGCGCGCGTCCGAATCGTGCCCCGCGACAGGTGGGAGGCGTACGCCCAGATCTTGGTGCGCGACAACGCGATCGTGTTCAGCGTGGAGCATGTGCGGCTCATACTCAGCGCGGACAAGGTGGGGGCGAGGTTGACGAGTTGTATGGCTTATCTTGTTAGTCTAATCCGAGGTGTTTAGGGAGGATGTGCCGGCAGCGGGGGAGGGGGCAGTGGCGGCGCTCGGCGCCGGGGTGGTTTCAGCGCGGGAGTGCGCGGGGGGAGCGGGGCGTGTGGGGGCCGCGCGGCCGCGGGGACAGGCTGGGTCGCAAGGGACGGGGGCCGGCCGGGCAGCGCTGGGCCGCACCCCTGCGGTGGTCTGGCGGCGCCTGGGGCTTGCAGGGGCGACACACCCCCTCCAACGCCCCAGCTGGGTGACCCCTCCCCCACCCCCCTTTGGGGCCGCTCTCCATTGCACCCCCCAGCCTCGAATCGCACCGCCTTGAGGCAGCCATCAATTTGTCACGACGCAAGGGGCCAGCCCCAATACAGCATCCCACTTGCGTCTTGGAGCGCAGGAGGCACACCGCAACAACACGCTTGCACGCACGCCTGTGTACGTACCCATGCGCATGCGTGCCCTGACACATGTGCAGATCCTCATCCCGTTGGATTTCGAAAAGACAGAGGTGGCTGAGCGATTTATTAAGCACTTGGAAGCGACAATCCGCGAGCGTGCGGCCGACGACGCCGCGCGGCGGCGCCAGACC